TACAAAATAATCTTCAGAATACAGTAAGCAAAATCTGATAGAATTGAAAAAATACAGTTATATCCAAAATTATGGTTGATAATGTCAATATTTTTCTCTGTAATCTACAAAACATTAGAGCAAAAATCAATAAGAAATTAGAAGACTTGAAGGTTATCAACCAATTTGACTTAATTAATATTCATAGAACACTCCACCCACCATACTAGATTAGTCATCCATTTCAAGAAAATATGAAACATCTGCCAAGAGAAATGATATTCTGGGGCATAAAACAAACAAAATACACTTGAAGGATTTTAAATAATGCAAAACAGAAGAAAAGTACAAAAAAAGATTTTGAAAACATATTCTATTTGGAAATTTGATAAAAAAAAAAACTCTTCTAAATAAACAATGGGTTGAAGAAGATCTTGCCAGAAAATCAGAAAAATTTTCAACTGAATGAAAGTGAAAATACAATATATCAAAACCACTGGGATGCAGATAAAGCTGTCCTTAGAGGGAAATTTTTAGCATTAATGCTTATTTTAGAAAATAAGAAAGACTTCAGATCAATGACCCAAGCTTTTAAAAAAAGTAGAAAATTCACATGGAAAGGCATAGAAGCTAGTACAACAAAAACAAAATTGTAAAGAACAAAGTTGGAGGACTCTTCCTATACAGTTTCAAGATTTATTATAAATAACCAAATAATCAAGACTATAATTTTGGTGAAAGGATAAACATGTAACTCAATGAAGCCAAGAAGTATAAAAATAGACCCTCACATATGTAACCAATTGATTTTCAACAAAATTGCAAAGGCAATTCAATAAAGAATCAATGATCTTTTCCACAAATAGGGTGGAAAAGTTGGATATCCATTTGAAAAACAAGACAAAACAAACCTCAATCCATGACACAGACCATACCAAAAAACTAAGTCAAATGAATTATAGATATATGGCAAATCTAAACATAAAACAATTACAATAAAATGTGGGATAAAGTCTTTGTGTCCTTAGATCATGCAAATGTCTCAGATTTCTCAGTCAATATTTCATGAACCATAGAAGAAAAAAATTGATATATTTTCCAATCAAAATTAAAGATGTCAGCTCTCCCAAAGACCATGATAATAAAATGAAAAGATAAATGACAAATTGGAAGAAAAATATTTGAAAAACATATCAGATAAAGGTCTCATGTCCTAAGTATTTAAAATTCAGTAAGAAGAATACAAATAATCCAGGAAAAAACTTAAAATATTTGAGCAGATACCTTATCAAAACAGACATGGATTACAAATAAGCACATAAAAAGATACTCTGCATCAGCAATCCTTAAGAAAATGTGAATTGAAATCACCATGAAACTCCACATCTATTGGAATGGCAAACAAAAAACTTGACAATACCAAAGGCTAATGAAGATGTGAAATCATTCAATAATACTTTATTGGTGGTAATCAAAAAAATGGTATGACTACTTCGGAAATGAATGTTCAATTTCTTACTTATCATCACTTTTTTTTCTTTGTTTCTTTTTTTTTTTTTTTTAGGGAGGGAGGGAGAGAGACAATGGACAAGTGGGGAGGAAGATCAGAGAGAGAGAGAGGAAGAAGGAGACACTCTGCTGAGCAGGGAGCCTGATGAGGGGCTCAATCCCAAGACCCTGAGATCATGACCTGAGCTAAAGGCAGATGCTTAACCAACTAAGCCACCCAGGTATACCCTCTTACTTATTACTTTAAATGTATACTTTTAACATGGCACAGTAATCTGATTCCTAGGTATTTACCAAGTAAAAAGGAAAACATGTTCACACAAAAAACCTGCTCACGAATGTTCATAATAACATTATTCAAAGTCACCAGAAATTGGTAACAAGTCAAATACATTATCCACAACAGCTTAAAAGTAGAAACAATTCAAATAACTTTCACCTGGTAAATGGAAAAACAAACTGGTATGGTCATGCAATGAAATACTACACAGCAATAAAAAAGAACAAATGACTTATACAAAAAAAATGAATCTGAAATGCATAATGTTAAATAACAAGAGACAAACTCAAAATGACATATACTATATGATTCTACTTATATGATGTCATATAAAAAGCAATACTAGAGGGATAGAAAAGAAACCAGTGGTTGCCAGAGTATGCTAAGAGGAAGTAGTGGTTGCAAAGAAGCACAGTAAATTTGGGGGGGGGGGATGGAATTCCAAAGTCCCTTGTGATAGTGGTTTCACAACTTGTTACATTTGTCAAAACTCATAATACCATATAGTAAAAATTATGAATTTTACTATATGGAAATTATTCCTCAATAAGCCTGAATTTAAGAAAAGCTAATAAACTAAGTAATATAAAATAATGACATAAAAAAAACAGAAAAGAAGGAAAAGAGAAAGAAAGGATAAGAGGAAAAATGTATAAGCAAGATGGTAAACTTAAAATTAGTTATATGAAGAGCACCTGGGTGGCTCAGTGGGTTAAAGCCTCTGCCTTCGGATCAGGTCCTGATCCCAGGGTCCTAGGTTCGAGCCCCGAATTGGGCTCTCTGCTCAGCAAGGAGCCTGCTTCCCTTCCTCTATCTCTGCCTGCCTCTCTGCCTGCCTCTCTGCCTACCTGTGATCTCTGCCTGTCAAATAAATAAATAAAATCTTTTAAAAAAATTAGTTATAGGAGTAATTACATGAAGTATAAATGGACTAAACAACAGACTGGATTTTAAAAAACAAGTCAAGTACATGTTGTTATGCTTTAAATATAAGTACACAGATTGAAAGCAAAAGAATGGACATGATAGAGCATGCAAACAGAAACCTAAAAAGAGCTTGTGTGGTTATATTAATATCAACGTTACCTTTAAGGCAAGAAGTGTATCACAAATAAAGGGTGGCATTTCCTAAAGCTAAAAGGGGCAATTCAACAGGAAGACAAAATAATCCTAAATTTTTAAGTCTGTTTTAACATAGCTTGAGACAGTGTACCTAAGTATTAATAGAAGAATAGAACCTTAATTATAGCTTAATATACCTACTTCTGGTGTATTAGACACCATAGACTAGATAACAAAATTATAAATTATATTGAAATCTGAACAAAATTAACAAATTTGATCTACTTTATATATAAATATATATTATGAAATATATATATCAAGTTTAGTAATATATTAATATAAACATACAGATTAAATTGTATTACTAAATATTTAAATTTAATTTATTTAAATGTTTGAATTTATTTGAATATTCAAATATTAAATAAATTAATATTAAACATATATTAATATATAAAGAAATATATATTTCTTGACCCAATAGTCAAGAAAGCACAATAACAATTAGATAATAAAAATTCAGCGCATTAAAATTCATGGGATATGGTAAAAGCAGTGTGTGCTATTTATTATTTTTTGCCTCTCTGCTCCAAATTCCACCTATTTGCTAGCTTTTTGTAAACAGGTTTTGGCCCTTTTAAATATTTTTCCTTGCTGGCTAGAACTTTGTCATTAGAGGGCACTGGAAACACACTGCAGGGGGAAACTGTTTTTGCTTCCTCATTCTGGTATGCTTGCTGGGCAAGCTTCTCCAGGAAACATTACTTTCCCCAGCACTAGGCTTCTGCAGTTCACAATGGCCAGGAGCTTCGCCTGAACCTCCGTTGGGCAGCTTTGTAGCAAAGTGCCTGCTCTGAGGTTTCCCTGGCACTTCAGAGGGTGGATTTCCAGCACAGTTTTTACCAATATGGTGCTGTAAGAACTTCTCTGCCATTCAGTGAGCTACAGCAACCTTCCACAACAAGGTCTAAATCTCAGGCCTTGAGGGGGTCTCTCTCTTAGGTGTGCTATCTCAGCTGTAGAGGTAGTAGCTGTAGAATGTTCTTTATGTTTTGCTGACCAATCCATCATTACTCCAGTCCACTGGTAGCGTTAACAACTCTTTATTTTTTCTTTTCTTTTTTTATTATGTCATGTTAGTCAATCATTTATTATGTTAAACTTTTTGAAATTACTGTGTGTTTTCTCTCTCCTGATTGGACCTATTGATTCATAGTGCTTACAGTAAAAATTACTTTAAATACATATATTAGAAAAGAAAAATATCAATTTCTAAGTTACAATCTTAAGAAATAGAAAAATAATAGAAAATAGGAGGAAAAGAGTAAAAGTTAAAACAAAAATTGATAAAATAGAAAACTGACATAAAATGGAGAAAAATCAGCAAAGTCAGAATTTTGTCCTTTTAGAATACCAATAAATTTGATAAACTCTTTGCAAGATAATTATGAACAGTTTTATACAAATAAATGTGACAACCTAAGTAAAATGGAAGATTTCCTTTAAAGATTTATTTATTTATTTTAGACAGTGTGCAGTTGCAGGGGACACAGGGAGAGAAAAGAATCCTCAAGCAGACACCCCATTGAGCACAGAGGTCTGTGCAAGGCTTGATCTCAGGACCCTAAGATCATGACCTGAGCTGAAATCAAGAGTCAGATGCTTAACTGAGTCACCCAGACCCCCCTGGAAGATTTTCTTTAAAAATCACGATTTATCAAATTGACACAAGAAAAATCAGAAAAAAATCTGAATAGTTGTTAAATATATTAAATCTTTAATTAAAAACATATCCCCAAAGAAAATGTCAAGCCTAGAGGTCTTTACTGGTAAATTCTTGGAACATTTAAGAAAGAAATAGTACTAATCTTCCACAACCTCTTCAAGGAATAGAGAGAGAACATTTATTCATAACTTATTTTATAAGACCAGCATAAACCTGATATAAAAATATAACAACAAAATTATAATATTAACAGACACACAAATAAGAACAAACTATTAGAAAATCAAACCCAGAGAATACATTAAAAAGATAATAGGTCATGGGGCACCTGGGTGGTTCAGTGGGTTAAAGCCTCTGCTTTCGGCTCAGGTCATGATCCCAGAGTCCTCTGCTCTCTCCCACATCAGGCTCTCTGCTCAGCGGGGAGTCTGCTTCCTCCTCTCTCTCTGCCTATTTGTGATCTCCATCTGTCAAATAAATAAATAACATCTTAAAAAAAAAGGTAATAGGTCATAACCAAATTGGTTTATTCTAGGAATAAAAAAAAAGGTTTGAATTTTGAAAGTTAGTCAATATAATTCACCTCATTAAGGTAATAAAAGTGAAAGTCATATAATTACCTCAACAGATGCAAAAAGGCATCTAATTAAATTAACCACTATTTCATGATAAAAACTCTCAGCAAGCTAAGAATAGAAGAAAACTTCTTTAACGTGATTACATTTATACATAAAAAGACTACTGTTAACATATTTAGTGGTGAAATGTTGTGTGCTTTCTCCCTGAGTTCAGGAACAACTCAAGTACTTCTGTTTTTATTCTACTATTCATTTTATTACTTCACTAATCGATACTAGTTAGTACAACAAAACAAGAAAAAGAATTAAAAGGTATAAATACTGGAAAGGAGCCTGTAAAACTGTCATTCCAGGTGATATTATTGTAAATAATAGGGAAACTCAAAAGAACATACATACTATTAGAGTTAATAAATGAATTAAGCTGTCAATATATAAATATCTATTATATTTCTATGTATTAGAAAGGATAATTAGTAAATTAAACTTTAGAAACAGTATCATTAACAATAGTTTTGGAAAACCTCAAATATCTAAGAATGAATCGAATGAAGGATGCATGATCACAAAACTGAAAACTGTAAAACTGTAAAAAAAAAACAGGAAAAATTAAAGATGACCTAAATAAATGGATAGCTATACCATGTTCAAGGATTTGGAGACTCAATATTGTAAAGATGTTAATTCTCCTCAAATTAATTTACTGATTCAGTGCAGGATCAATCAAGATTTCAGCAGGTTTTTCTTTGGAAATTTTTAAGGAGCATACTAAAATTTATACGTAAATGCAAATAGCCTGTAATAGCCAAAGAATCAGCTTGAAGAAATTGTTGGAGGATTTACATTATCAGATATCTAGACTTGGCATAAAGTGACAATATTTAAGACAGGGTGATATGGCAGCAATGACAGATAAAACAGATCAGTGAAACAAAAAGAGAGTCCAAAAATAGGGCAACATATATAATAGTAAGCTGATGTACAACAAAGGCGCAACTCCAAATTTACAGCAGTAAGATTTTTTTTCAGTAAGTGAAGCTGCATGATTCATATGGAACAAACAGACCTTAACACTATTTTACATCACTTGCAAAAGTTAATTTCAACTGGATTATAGACCTAATATATAAGGAAATCAGTAATTTTCTAGAACAGGAGTTGATAGTTTTTTTCTGTAAATGGCCAGAGAGTCGATATTTTTGGTGACTATGGGTGACACAGTCTCTGTTGCAACTCTACAACTCTTTTGTTCTAGCACAAAAGAATCCTTAGACAATACATAAATGAATGGAAATGGCTGTGTTCCAATAAAAAATATATTTACAAAAACCTGTGGGCAGACCACATGGGACATCATTTGCTGTCCCTGTTCTAGAAGATAACACAGAAGAATTTTACGACCTTGGGGTAGGCAGTGATTTCTTAAATAAGACTCCCCAAAAAAATATGAACCACAAAAGGTTGATAAAGTTCTTAAATTCTATTTCTGAAAAGACAGCATTGAGTCAAACAGCAAGACACAGCCTAAAACAAGATATTCATGATACATATGCATATGTATCTGTGTATGCATATATACCATATCATATATACAGCATATGTATCCAACAAATCACTCATAGCCACAATATCTAAATACCTACAAATAGATAAGAAAAAGATAAATAACTCAATGAATATAGCTCAAACAAAGTGAGTAATAAACCTAAGGAGATACTTTGCAGAGACTACTAAGCATGGACATAAGAATCTGAAAAGATGTGCTTTATGATCAGTCATCAGGGAAATGCAAATAAAAATAAAGCCATAATAAAATATCAGTACACACTCAGCATGGCTACAATTAAAAAGACTGACAATATGAAGTGGTGGCCAGGATATGGAGCAACTAGGACTGGAACTTTCATATATTACCTATGAGAATATAAATTGTTACAATCACTATGAATCACTGGGGTCTACTAAAACCTCTCTTATCACCCAGCAGTTCCAACTGAGAAAATGCATGATATACGAGAGAAAATGCATGAACGTGTCACATGAAAAGCATGTACAAGACTATCATAGCATTTTTCCTCCTAACAGCCCGAGACTAGAAATAGCTCAAATGCCTATTAATGGTAGAGTGAATAAATTGTGGCAGAATAGAATACTACAAGCAGTTAAAAAGAACTGATAACATGGATAAGTATAACAGATAATACTAAACAAACAAACAAAAAACCCCAGGCACAAAATTCTATTTCTATGAATTTCAGACAGACAAAATAATCTATGGTTGTGGGCACAATGGAGGGGCACAATGGAGCACTCTGGGGATAGTGGTTACCTGAGTAATACATATATAAAAATTCATTGGGCTCTATACTTAAAATTTGTGCACTTTAATTTCAGTATGTCAAAACTCAAAAATAATTTTTTTAAATCATAGGAATTTCATGAATATATTTTCACTGAAAGATTCAAACAACACTGAAAGACATAAGAGTAAAATATTAATCCTACCTTCATGTCTTGCTCTCTCATTCTTGCTGTCTTCCCTAAAGAAAAGAATCAAGTGAGCTTACTTCCAAATCAATTTCTATGCATTTACATGCATAAATAAATGCCAATGTATAGCAACATTTTAAAAATATACATTAATGCTTCTATAATAATTCTATAATTTTATAATTTTAATTTTTATTCTATAATTTTATATAATTCTATAATTTTAATTTTACCCTAAAAATACATCTTAAGCTCTTTCTAAGCCTAATATAGATCAGCTTAAATTTTTTTTAAAGGTACACAATGTTCGTAGTATCAAGGTAACATAATAAATTCAGTAGTTTTCCAATTAGTGGAAATTTAGATTATTCCTATTTTTTCACTCTTCAAAACCATGCTGCATCAAACATTCTTAAGTTTTCTTTGTGCACACAAGTAAGTATTTCATGGTACACTATGAACAATTAACTTACTTTGGCTAAAACTGTAGAAACAAAATTGCTGAGTAAAAGAAAATTGTATAATAAAAAAGTTTGGTAAATTCTACCAAATTGCTTTCCAGAAAGCCTTACAAATTATATTCTGACCAAGTATACATAAAAATACCTGATTCCCCACATATTTTAAACACTAAATATTATCAACCTTTTTAAAAGTTTTTATTTAAATTCTAGTTAGTTAATATACAGTATAATATTAGTTTCAGGTGTATATAAATATTATCAATCTTTTTTTAAATTATTATCAATCTTTTAAAATTCTGCCAGTCCTAAGGATATAAAAAAAAAAAGCAATTCACTGTTACTTTAAATTACACATCTTAAGTCAGACAAAGACAATAACCAAATGATCTTACTTGCATGTCAAACCTAAAAAACAAAAAAAAGCAAAAACAGAACCATAGATACAGAGAAAAAACTGATGGTTGTCAGAAGGGAGGGGGAAAGGGGATGGACAAAATGAGTGAAGGGGAGGGAGAGATACAGGTCTTTAGTTATGAAATGAGTAAGGTATGGGGATGAAAGGTACAGCAATAGGGAATATAATCAATGGTATGGTAATAACATTGTACTGTGACAGATGGTGTTTACACTTGCAGTGAGCATAGCACAGGTACAGAGATATTCAATCACTATGTTGTACACCTGAAACTAATGTAACATTGTATGTCAACTATATTTCAATTAAAAATTATATTTCTATTCATTATTTATATTTCTTCCCACTGAAGTGGTTATTTATATCTTTCATACATGTTTCTATTAGGTTGTTTATATTTTCTTTATTGATTCTTTGGTGTTTATTACATATCGTAAAATGTATTCAAAACAGGTTGAAAATATCGTCTCCTGGTTTGTCACTTTTAACTGTTCTTTTTCTTATCACATAGTACTGGCTAGGACTCTCAAAACAGTATTGAAAAACTTTAGTGTGAAACTTCTGATATTTTATGATTAGGCATGATGCTTGTGTATACAGATATCTTTCATTAAAATTGAGAAGTTTTTCCTACACCTGGTTTGCTAAAATCGTTTTATTCCTAATAAAAAAATAGATGTCACATTGTATTGAACGCTTTTTGGCTTCTCTTAAGATAATTATATCATTTTTTTCTTTGAGTATAATGATTTGTATTAATATATTCTGAATTTTGAATCAGCTTTGACTATCTTAGATAAATCCTACTTAGTTATGATTTTTCTACATTTCTATATAAATGTATTCATTTAAAAAACACATTTCTGGGTTCACTTTGCTAATACTTAGGATTTTTGTATTCGTGTTCATAAATACTACTTGTATTTCTACCAGGTTTTACTTTATAAGTTACAAGCATAACTTTTGATTTTATATTGATAGGATTGTTAAAGTTCATTATTAATAAAGCTTCTTATGGAATTGTTTCTTTTATCAACATGCATGTTCTTTACCTTGTTAAATTCTCTTTGCATTAATTTTTTTTTGTCTAACTATGTTATCACACCTAATCTATTTTTAATGCTTGCAGGATATATCTTTGCATGTGCTTTTATTTATAACCTTCTTTTTAGATGTAGTTCTTCTAAATAGCTTAGAGCTAGATGTGCTCTTGCTTTACCAAACTTAAGATTCTCTGTCTTTATTGAAGAAATTGATTCCATTTGTCATGTATTGTATCCACTGTCAAATGATTACTGATGGCTTGACTTTTTTCCTGCCATCTGGTTGTACGTGTGCATGTATTTTGTCATGCTTTTAGAACTTCCCTCTTCTCACTTCATCATGCCTTGTCTCTGACGTCTTTCTATTGCCGTCACCTAGAATAGGGTTTGGCCTGCAGGCAAATCAGTCTTGTTGCTTGTTTTATAAATAAAGTTTTATTGGACCACAATCATGATCATTCAATTACATATTATCTGTGGCTGCTTTCAGTCTACAGCAGTAGAGCTGAGTAGTTGTAACAGAGACTTAATGAACCACAAGCAGAGAATATTTACTCTCTGGTATTTTACAGAAAAGTTTGCGAACATCTAATCTTGATTTTAATTTTATGTTACTGATTTCTAAACATACACCATATTTAGATAACTACAAGTTAAATAATTTTTCTCTTCACTGTTTCTTGAACATATTCATCTTTCTTAGATTCCTTATTTATTTTGTTAAAGTTCATCCTATAGTCTACTTTCTTTTTTTTTTTTAATATTTTATTTATTTATTTGACAGAGATCACAAGTAGGCAGAGAGGCAGGCAGAGAGGGAGGAGGAAGCAGGCCCCCCACGGAGCAGAGAGCCTGAAGTGGGGCTCAATCCCAGGACCCTGGGATCATGACCTGAGCCAAAGGCAGAGGCTTTAACCCACTGAGCCACCCGGGCGCCCCTATAGTCTACTTTCAAGGAGATTCTGTGATACATAACTGCTAAGGCTTTTTATTTAAAAAAATCCTGGTTTTTAAACTCTAAGTGTGGTTTGTGGTTTGTTTCATATTTAGTAATAACACCCTCAGTCTCTCTGAGGATAACACATATTTGTAATAATTTTAACTATATATTTTACTTATAATAATTTTATTTTTCTTAAAATTCTAAGATAACATTTATAAAATAAATTTATACTTATCTTTTTATTTTATTTATTAGCTCTCTTTCCTCAGGTATTATTTCAGAATTTACTGAGTTTTGTCCCTCTACAAATGCAGGTTATTCTTGTACTTTGTTAATAAGAATCCCTATAAGCCCCCTATTTCTGCTTAATGTGGATTGACTTTGGTGATTATAGGGAAAGGGAAAGACATACTGCTGAGCAGGATATTTTCAGAGTGAGGAGTCTCCCTCTCCCTCCTGAGATCCATTCTCCTATGCTATTCTTTGGCTCCCATGACCCCACAGCCTCACTGTTTTAATATGTGGACCAATATAAGCAGGAAAAGGGAAGGCCATCAGCAGTCTAACTGCTCCACATGCAGGGTCTCAATCCTTCTGGTCACTACCTTAGCAACCCCTATTCACTGAATCTGCTCTCTCTGAGCTGGCACCTTCCCTGAAATTGCTTCCATCTCCTTAGCTGTCTTAAGCTTCTGAGTATTCGAGGTTTACTTGCTCTAGTTTGTTCATCCAAGTTCTGACACCACCATCTCCTAAAAATTTCTGATACACTGATGACACTTTTTGTCCTCCATCCTGTTACCAATTATTTCCCTCTCCCTTCCCCCTCCCATCTCTCAATCTTTTCTGTCATTTCATAAGATTCAGTAAAGATTAAGTTTCCCTCAATCTGACATCTTGATTTAATCTTCATATATGGGATTCTTTAATTAACTCTTTCAAAACACCATTAAATACAATTTATTTCTGAGGAGGAACTTAAGATTGAATCATTTTTTTTTTAAAGATTTTATTTATTTATTTTTTTGACAGGCAGAAATCACAAGTAGGCAGAGAGGCAGGCAGAGAGAGAGAGAGGGAAGCAGGCTCCCCGCTGAGCAGAGAACCCGATGCGGGACTCGATGCCAGGACCCCGAGATCATGACCTGAGCCAAAGGCAGTGGCTTAACCCCCTGAGCCACCCAGGTGCCCTCGAATCATTTTTATATCAAAACATTTTAAAAGATATTCAGAAAGAGTATCTTTGATGCAGAAAGGAAACTGAAGCTTTACTCCAATAATATATTTGAGGGTATTAGAAATGATAAAATAACTTTCACCAACTGTAGTGGAAAGGGCTATTTAGTCCAAAGTCACTGGTCTTTAAAAATAGGTTGGGGAGTCTACTTATTTAAAAAGTGTTCTTTCATGAGGAATAGGGGCAGTGGTTGCAGAAGAGCTGTAGTCATTTAGACATTGTTTTTCCAGCTAATAACAATCTTAACATATTAGTCAGCAGCAATCAGTGACATTTGTAGTCAGAAAAATTTGGCTATCAAGCTCATCCTATTTTGGAACTCTACCCCTATCCTGCCATACACAATCCCTTGACTGCTGAGTAGCCTGTTCCAAATACATCACAAATTAACTTTAACAGTTTTAATGCTGATTTAAGGGAACTCTTCCTAGAGTAGCTAGAAAGCATAGACTCTGACCCTGTACCTCTGTACTTTCTGGTTTTTGAAGTCCCTGAAAATAAGAGTAGCTGGTTTCATTTGGCTTTCTTTAGGGACCTTAAAAGGGATGAGTATGTTTGAAATTCCTATGACTACTCTGAGTTTTTCCAACTGATTATTAACAACTTCTATTCTTTCTCCTTTTCCAGTCCCAGAGTTGTTAGTTGCCAGAGTTTGCTGTCAGACACCTCTGTATACTCCCAGAGCTTTCTGAGATAGAATTTGATGAACTTCCTTAATTTTTTTTGTTAGTTGTGGGTAAAAATTTTCTCCTTGCAATGAATGGTGCCTGTCTCACTATTTGCTGTGCCCCGATTTCAGACTGGAGGGGTGTGAATATTTTTTCATGCTCTGATCAAGTTATCTCCTGAAGCAGCAGGCCTCAGGGGTAGGATAGATTTGGTAACCACAACTTGTACTTCCTCAGATTTTAAAGTGGTGGTACATGGTCACAGGCTACATTTAGTTTTCAGGGCTCCTATCACTGTTGGGGCCCTCGCACTCTCCCATCATCCCTTGTCTGTCTTTATCCTCTTTAACCTCCCCAGGAAGAGGGAAAAAAGGGAAATTCATATTATTTGGCTCTTACTGTATGTTCACTGTGTGCCTTATGCTAGGTATTTTCACAAATACTTTCCATCAAACCCTCAAGCATAACTGCACAAGGGAATTGTCCTTATCCCCACTTTTACCAGTTAGGAAACTGAGGCTCAGAAAGGTAAGCAACTTACCTGTGACTACAAAAGTGGCAAGCAGTAGGTCTGGGATGTGGATCCTAGACTCTAAGCTCCAAAACCCAGAGGATCTTCCAGAGAAGAAGCCTCAAGCCTGACTCACCCAAGAGCGTGGCTCTGAATGCAAATGAGAAACGAGAGCTGAAAGGAGAATGTAACTCTTCTTGAAAGGTACAGAGCTGGCCAAAGTTTAAAACTGGAGAATTGGGGGCACCTGGGTGGCTCAGTCAGTTAAGCGTCTGACGCTTGATTTTGGCTCAGGTTACGATCTCAGGGTTGTGAGATTGAGCCCTGTGTCAGGGTCTGCAGTGGGCATGGAATCCATTTAAGATTCTCTCTCTCTCTTTACCCTGAATTGCTAAGGAAATGTTGAAAAAGAAAAACAAAACTGGGGCATCACGTTGCCTGATTTCAAGCTTGACTACAAAGCTGTGATCACCAAGACAGCATGGTACTGGCACAAAAACAGACACATAAACAAGTAGAAAAGAGTAGAGAGTCCAAATATGGACCCACAACTCTATGGTCAAATAATCTTCGACAAGGCAGGAAAAAATATACAGTGGAAAAAAACCAGTCTCTTTAATAAATGGTGCTGGGAAAATTGGACAGCTATGTATAGAAGAACAAAACTTGACTATTCTCTCACACGATACACAAAGATAAACTCAAAATGGATAAAAGACCTCAACATGAGGCAGGAATCTATTAAAATCCTAGAGGAGAACATAGGCAGTAACCACTTCCACATCAGTCACAGCAACTTCTTTCAAGATGTCTCCAAAGGCAAAGGAAAAAAAAGCGAAAATGAACTTCTGGGATTTCAACAAGATCAAAAGCTTCTGAACAACAAAGGAAACAGTCAACAAAACAAAGGCAACCCATGGAATGGGAGAAGATATTTGCAAATGACACTACAGACAAAGGGCTGATAGCCAAGATCTATAAAGAACTCCTCAAACTCAACACTCAAAAAAGAGGTAATTCCATCAAAAAATGGGCAGAAGACATGAACAGACACTTCTCCAAAGAAGACATACAAATGTACAACAGACACATGAAAAAATGTTCTTCATCATTAGCCATCAGGGAGATTCAAATCAAAACTACATTGAGATGCCACCTTACACCAGTTAGAATGGCTTAAGTTAATAAGACAGTAAACAACAACTGTTAGAGAGGTTGTGAAAAAAGATAAGCCCTCTTACACTGTTGGTGGGAATGCAAGTTGGTGCAGCCACTTTGGAAAACAGTGTGGAGATTCCTCAAGAAATTAAAAATAGAGCTACCCTATGACCCTGCAATTGCGCTACTGGGTATTTACCCCAAAGATACAGATATAGTGAGCAGAAGGGCCATCTGTATCCCAATGTTCATAGCAGCAATGGCCACAGTTGCCAAATGGTGGAAAGAGCCAAGATGTCTTTCAATAGACGAATGGATAAAGAAGATATGGTCCATATATACAATGGAGTATTATGCCTCCATCAGAAAGGATGAATACCCAACTTTTTTATCAACATGGACGGAACTGGAGGAGATTATGCTGAGAGAAATAAGTCAAGCAGAGAGAGTTAAGTATCATATGGTTTCACTTACTTGTGGAGCATAAGGAATAACACGGAGGACATGGGGAGAAGTCTCCTTCTTCCCATGAAGTGAGTTGGGGGAAATTGGAGGGGGAGATGAACCATGAGAGACTGTGGACTCTGAGAAACAAACTGAGGGTTTTGGAGGGCAGAGAAGTGGGGAGTTGGGTGAGCCTGATGGTGGGTATTGCACCATGCACGTATTGCATGGAGCACTGGGTGTGGTGCATTACAACGAATCTTAGAACACTGAAAAAATAAAATTAAATTAAAAAAAAATTCTCTCCCTTTCTTTCCTTCCCCACCCCTCTCTCTCTTCCTTTCTAACAAAACAAAACAAAACAACACACACACACATACAACAAAACAAACAAGCAAAAACACTGAAGAATTGTAGGACCAGAAGTCAGACTGAACAGACAAAATTGGTCGGCTTGGAAATTTTTGTAGAGTCATGGAGACATAAATTTTCAGTATGGGTTAATTAAGTTCTCAGTTCCTGCACTATTTTGGATAATCCAGTAAGTTTTTTTAAATTAATTAATTAATTTGAGAGAGAGAGTGAGAGAGAGCATGAGAGGGGGAGAAGGTCAGAGGGAGAAGCAGACTCCCCGCAGAGCTGGGAGCCTGATGCAGGACTCAATTCCCAAACTCAGGGATCATGACCTGAACTGAAGGCAGTGATTTAACCAACTGAGCCACCCAGGCACCCAGCCAGTAAGTTTGTTATTGGCCCATTCTGCCTTTTTTCCCTCATTGGCCTAAATAAAAGGAGCTCTCTCTAATTCAATAACTGAATTCAATAAACATATACTGTTTGGCTACTTTATGGTAGGGACTATGTTGTCCCTCTATGTTGAAGATAGAGGGAAGAATGAAAACATACTTCCTGCCCTCATACAGTTCATACTACTGAGAGCCAGGGTTGGGGAGGGCAGACACAAGTAAACCTACAATTAACTTATAACGTGATCATATCTCTGACATAAGGTTATGCAAGTTTCTCTAGGGCCACAGAGAAAAGAGCCAACTCAACCAGGTTGGGGGTGGGCTGAGGAATGGATAAGGCAAGACTTCCAAGAGGATACAATTCTTGACATATGATTGAGCCCTTTAGATGATCAGGACCATACTGTATGGGTAAAAGAGGGATTCACACCAAAGTAAGAGAGCAATGGGGACCTTTTCCTGGGGGGTCTGAGAAGATAAATCAGTTGCTAGAACTATTTTGGAACCTAAAAGAACTTTCAGTTCCCTAGCTGTCTTTAAGTTTCTATGAGGTCACTTGTATGTCTGTTCCTAGGTTTCTGGGTGGTTATTCTGGATTTCCCCAAGGTCAGGACAATAATCTGTTGTTCCTCATTTGTGCCTTCTTACCCTGGTGCTCAGTGAGGAAATCTACTCTGTTCCCCTCAACCCCTAGGCCTATTGCTCCTACTATTACTAAGCAACTATCACATCTTCTAGAAGCCTTTTCAGCCTGTCTACTCACAATTTCAGCTTACTTATTGCCTCTGCTTGTTGCTATGGTCTAATGGTTTTTGAGGTCTACCTTCTCATGTGTGTCTTTTAGCTACTGTTTTTATTGCCACTGCCTACCCTCTACCATATTCGTATTCTCCAAGAAAGGAACCAGTTTGTTAATAATTACTAACCTCTTCCTTGGGCAAAGCTCTCATATTTGGTTAACTCATAGGTCACTGTCTAGCCAGGGGATTGTTTGCCTTCATGTTGGAGCTGAGCCCTGTTCCAACCAGGGGCCCAGGGTTACAAGTGACAAAGATGTTGGTCTACAACAATAGAGCCAATTTACAAGGCAGACATAAAAGGTAGCCAAGGATATAGTAGACAACCTAAAGCTAGGCTGACTGAGGAGAACGATGCTACAGATACATTTGAGCCACTATAAATGGAAAAGCAAAAAACATCTGACATCAACCATAATAGTCCCTTGGCTAACTTCAGGTAACAGTAAGGGGGGAGGGGAAGGATGAAGAAAAATAGAAAGTTTCTGGGAATAAGCATTTACAAGAAATAACACAGAAAATAAGTACGTCCAAGGAAAGGAGACAAGTTGACCTACCTGACAGGAAATAGTCTTTTTTGAGGTGCTTAAGAAGATTATCCAAGGGCTTCTTTCTTCCCTCAAATACACGAGGTGGGAAGTGATGTCACGAAGATGATGACATAGGTTGTTCCTGACTTTTGCTCTCCCTCCAAGAATAATAAGAACTGGACACCATTGAGAGAATCCTAGAACAAAGGATGAGACTGAAGCACCCCACTGTACCTCAGAGACCAAGACAGACTGCATTAGAAGGGTAAAAGAAGTACCTATACATTGACCACATGCCCCTCTCCCAGGCCAGTGCAGCACCTTGCAGAGAGGTCTCCCCCTGAGCCTCTGGTTCCTCCAGTGGGAAAGGAGAACTCAGAGGGAACAACCACTGCTCCCAGTACTGTGGGTAACTTTTCAGGAGCCCCTACTCTGATCTCACCTCATGGAGACTACAGGACAATCTGCAGAGGATAAATACTGGGATTGTGTGATAGAGAAAGGGAGAACGGCCAGCGACAACCAGCACAGAAATCTTGGCAGACCAGTGACCAGTAGTAATCTCAATCAGTGACTCTGCTCATCCACAGAAGCAAGTAGAAGGGACACTCTACCAGGAAACTCGGGAGGGTGCAGATCTGCCTGATTCTGATCCTCAAAAGAAGTTTTTTCAATGCTAAGCCCAATTTGCCCACACCCAGACAAGTCGGTGAATCACAACTCCACCCACTATAGAGAATGCCTTCCAGCCCCATCTAACCAGAGGGGTTGGCAACAACTGGAACCATGTGGCCCAGCAGTACTCAAACTAAGGGGCAGGTAAGCACAACTGATCATCCACAGAGCAAAGCCAATACCCAGCATGGAGAATTCTGGTGCTGTGAACAGATAAGGGGGATCAATTCACAGCCAAGGCTGAGGGGAGCTCCCAGCCCCTCCCAACTGGAGAGACTTTGGGAAATTGAGCAGCCTCTCCCCCTCTAGCCCAAGCAAGGATCTGAATCACAGCATCACCTGCTCTGCTGAGTGTCTTTTGGCGTCTTCTGACCAGAAGGGCTGGCAAAAACACCTGGAAGCTGTGTGGCCCAATAGCACTTGTGCTGAGAGGCAGGTGAGCAGAGCTGATAGTTTACATAACAAACAATGGCCCTGCTCAGTCAGGGAACTTGGGGTGCGGGTTGGCTTAAGTTAAGACAACAAAGACCTTTACTGGCATTAGAGCTGCTTCTCCTGCTATGCCCAGGCAGGGAATCAAATTCATAGCCCTGCTCATCACTGACTATAACCTTTGGCCTGTCTGAACAGGGAACCCAAACAGAGCACATGGAATGCTGCATAGCCCATTGAACAACCCTATACATAGTAGCACTAGAACAGATAGCACAACCCACGGCTTCCTTATATGTTGAGCAAAAGCAGTGGCCTCATCCAACCAGTGAATTCCGTGAACACTCTGGTCTGATTTGGGTCCCCAAACAATGTGCTGTACAAGCCCTGCGTTCTATCCTGCTGTCCTCACAAGGCAAGAAAGGTCATTTATAGCCCCATCCATTACTGAATATAGCACCCAGTCCTGACCATTTAGTAAGCCTGACTAGAAAGTCCAGGCAAATGCAGAGCTCATCCTATAGACTTACTTGGTTAGGGAGTCAAGCCAGTAGTTCTATCCAACAGTTCTCAACTAGTGATGCACCCCCTCATTCCTGTCCTCAGACTTCAAATAGTTGCCTTGCCCTCGAATAGACCATAATAGCAGACCCCACCTGCCAAAGGGTAATACCAGCAGACACACCCAGACACCCAAACTGAACTGATTGGTGAAGAACTGTCTCTGCCAAAGCAAACCTGTAAAGTCTGGAAGAGGAGTCAGATTATGCAAACGCACAGATGCCAACATAAGGAATCAAGGATTATGAAAAGTCAGATAAATACGCCACCAAAGGAAACTAATAAAGCTCCAATAACTGACTCTAAAGAAATGGAGATCCATGAACTGGCACACAAAAAATTCAGAATAATTCTCTAAGGGAAGTTTAGTGACCTATGAGAAAACAGACACAATTAAATGAAATTAGGAAAACAATGCACGAACAAAATAAGAAGTTTGACAAGGAAACAGCAACCGTCATCAAAAAAATAAAGAGAAATCCTACAGTTAAAAAATATAATAACTGAGGGATGCCTGGGTGACTCCGTGGGTTAAACCTCTGCCTTCAGCTCAGGTCATGATCTCAGGGTCCTGGGATCGAGCCCTGAATCTGGCTCCCTATTCAGCCTGGGAGCCTGCTTCCTCCGTCTCTCTTTGCCTGTATCTCTGCCTACTTGTGATCTCTGTCTGTCAAATAAATAAATAAAATCTTAAAAAAAAAAAAAAAAAAAAAGAAGAGAAGAAGAGGATTCCATAAGTCTTTGAGTGGATTTTTCAACAAAAACTTTCCAGGCCTGGAGAGACCAGGATAACATATTCAAAATATTGAAAAAACACCCCTGTCAACCAGGATTCTATACCTGGCAAAGCTGACTTTCAGAAACAGAGGAAGGATAAAGACTTTCTCAAACAAATGAAAATTGAGGGAGTTCATTGTCACCAGACTTGCCTTACAAGAAATGTTAAATGGAGTTCTTTGAGTGGGAGCAAATGAACACACACTAACATCATAAAAACATAAAAAGTTAGTGTAAATCTCACTAATAATGGTAAATCATACTTAGATTCTGCAATATAGTAATAGTGGTATATAATTCACTTATAATTCTATCGATTAAAAGTATTATATTGTAGTAAATATAACCATAGCTATAATAATCTGTTCTTAGCTATACAATCTAAAAAACATATAAACTGTAACAGCAATAACTGAAAATGAGGGAGAAGAGAAGTAAAAGTATAAAGTTTACAAATTCAATCAAAGTTGTTATTTGCTTAAGATAGAATGTTATAAGTTTAAGATATTTAATGCAAGACTATGGTCATTATTAAAAAAACAATAAAGAAGTCAAAGCATACTAATACCAAAAAACATCAAAACAAATAAAAAAGACAGTAGGATAAGAAGCAAAGAACAATAGATCTACAAAACAACCAGAAAACATCAAAATGGCAATAGTAAGTCCTTACCTATTAATAATTACTTTAAACATAAATGAATTAATTCTACAATTAAAATACAGAGAATGACTCATGGATTAAAAAAACAAGATCCAAATTTATGTGGCCTAGGAGACTCACCATAGCCTTATAGACACACATAGACAGAAAGATGAGATAGAAAAAGACTTTTCAAGCAAATGGTAATTTAAAAAAGCAGGGGTAGCTATGCTTGTATCAGACAAAATAGAGTTTGAACTAAAATAGTAAGACAAAGAAGGTCAATACATCCAGAAGGTATGACAGTTATAAATATTTATGTGCCCAACATTGGAGGACTTAAATACATAAAGCAAAAACTAACCAAGCTAAAAAAAAAGGACGTAAAATGGTATTACAATAATAGTTGGGGCCTTTAACACCCCACTCTCAACAATGGATAGGTCATCCAGACAGAGAATAAATAAGAAAATAGCAGATTTGTACAACAATATGGACCAAATTACCTAAATATATACAGAACATTCTCTCCAACAACAGCAGAATATGCATGCTTCTCAAGCACACAGCAACATATTCTAGAATGGACCATATGTTAGGTCACAAAACAAATTTTAGCAAATTCAACAAGGTTAAAACCCTCCAAGTATCTTCTCTGACTACAATGGCATAGAACTAGAAGTCAATCACAAAAGAAAAGCTGGAAAATTCATAAATATATGGAAATTAAACATCACTCTTCTGAAGAAGCAATGAATCAAAAAAGAAATTAAAGGGAAAATTAAAAAATTTCTATGAATCCACGTAGAAAATCAATGAGTGCAGGGCACCTGGCTGGCTCAGTGGTAGAGCATAGGACTTTTGATCTTGGATTGTGAGTTCCAGCTTCACCTTGGGTACAGGTATTACTTAAAAGTAAAATCTTTAAAAATAAATAAGTAAAAATAAAAATTTTCTTGAAACAAGCAAAAATGGAAACACAACACACCAGAACCTGTGGGATGCAGCAAAAGCAGTTCTACAAGAGAAGTTCATAGCAATAAATGTCTATATTAACAAGCAAGAAAGATACCAACCTAACTCTATGCCTCAAGGAACTAGAAAAAGAAGAACAAACTGAGCCCAAGGTTAGCAGAAGAAAGGAACTAGTTAAGATTTGAGCAGAAATAAATAAAATGGAGAAAAGAAAAATAATACAAAAGATTAAAGCAAACTAAGACTTGGTTCTTTGAAAAGATAAAACTGACAAACCCTCAGATAAACTAACCAAGGAAAAAAGAGAAAGGACCCAAATCAACAAAATTATAAATGAAAAAGGAAACATTACAACTGACATCATAGGAATTCAAAGACTCCTAAGAGGCTATTACGAACTACTGTATAACAACAAAGCAGATAACCTAGAAGATATGGAAACATTCTTAACTTACTCAGACTGAATCAGGAAGAAATAGAAAATATATACAGAACATTTGAGTAAGGAGATTGAATCAGTAGTCGAAAACTTTCCAATGAGGAAAAGCCCAGGACCAGATGGCTTCACTGGTGAACTTTACCAAATATTTAAAGAATTAACATCAATCTTTCTCAAATTCTTCCAAAAAGTCAAAAGGGAGGGAATACTCCCAAACTCATTTTACAAGGCTAGCATTATTCTGATACCCAAACCAGAAGAGGACACTACTAGAAAACTATAGGCTAAAATCTCCTGTGAATATAGACACAAAAATTCTCAGTAAAATACTAGCAAACTGAATTCAGCAACACAGTAAAAGGACCATTCACCATGATCAAAAGAGATTTATCCCTGAGAGGCAAAGACGGTTCAACATACACCAATCAACCAATGCGATACATCGTATTAACAGAATGAATCATATGATCATGTTAATAGATACCAAAAAAGCATCTGACAAATTCAACATTAGTTCATGATAAAAACTGAGGCACAAGACAAACATATCTCAACATAATGAAGGTCATATATATGACAGGCCCAGAGCTAACATCATACTCAGTGGTGAAATGATGAAAAATTTTACTCTAAAATCAGGAACAATCAGGGTGCCCAATCTCTCCATTCATATTCACCATAGTACTAGATGTCCTAGATAGAGCTATGAGGCATGAAATAGAAATAAAAGGTATCAGAATTGGAAAGGAAGAAGTAAAATTATCTCTATTTGCAGATGACATGATTCTTACAGATAAAATCCAAAAGACTCAACCTAAAAACTGTTAGATCTAACCAATGATTTCAGTAAAGTTACAGGACACAAGATTAACATTCAAAAATCAGTAATGAGGCACCTGGGTGTCTCAGTCAGTTGAGTGTCTGACTCTTGATTTTGGCTCAGGTCATGATCTCAGGGTCTTGAGATGGAGCCCTGCATTGTGCTCTGTGCTCAGCAGGGAGTCTGCTTGAGATTCTTTCTCTCCCTCTATTCTGCTCCCTCTTCCTCTCTCTCTCAAATAAATAAATAAATCTTTAAAAACAAAACAAAAATCAGTAATATTCCCATTTACAATAGCATCAAAAACAAAATACTTAGAAATAAATTTAACTAAGGAGGTGAGAGATCTCTACTCAAAAACTACAAGGCATTGATGAAAGAAATCAAAGAGGACACTAAATGGAAAGGTATCCCATGTTCAAAGACTAGAAGAAGTAATACTGGTAAATGTCATTATTACCAAAAGCCATCTATGGGTTGAATGCAATCCCTATTAAAATTCCAATGGCATTTTTGACAGAAGTGGGAAAAATACTTCTAAAACTTATATGGAACCACAGAAGACTCTGAATGTCTAATAAATCCTGAGAAAGAAGAACAAAACAGGAAACATCACATTTATTTATTTATTTATTCATTCATTCATTCATTCATTCATTAGAAAGAGAGCATAAGCAGAGGGAACAGCAAGCTCCCCAGTAAGCACCAAGCCCAATGTGGGACTTGATCCCAGGACTCTGGGATCATGACCTGAGCCAAAGGTAGATGCTTAACCAACTGAGCCACCCAGGCATCCCTGACATCACACTCTCTGACTTCAAATTATTTTATAAAGGTATAGTCATAAAAGTCTGATACAAAAATGTATGATGCTGGCATAAAAACAGATATATAGATCAATGGAACAGAATCAAGAACCCAGTAATAAACTCAAGCATTTTAGTCAACTAATAGTTGACAAGAGAGCCAAGAATACTTAATGGAGAAGACAGTCTTTGCAATAAATGCTATCGGGATAATTAGATACACACATGTAAAAGAATGAAACTGGGCCCGTATCTTAAACCACTCAAAAAAATTAACTCAAAATGTATTAAAGACTTAAATGTAAGACCAGAAACCATGGAACTCCTGGAAGAAAACACAGAAATAAAGCTCCTTGACAATAGACCTTTGTAATGATTTTTGGATATGACACTTAAAGCGCAAGCAACAAGATAAAAAATGAGCAAGTGATAGTACATCAAACTAAAAGGCTTCTGGGCATCCAAAAAACCCAAACAGGGGCACCTGGGTGGCTCAGTGGGTTAAGCCTCTCCCTTTGGCTCAGGTCATGATCTCAGGGTCCTGGGATCAAGCCCTGCACGGGATCTCTGCTCGGCCAAGAGCCTGCCCCGCCCCCCACCTGCCTCTCTGCCTACTCTGTCAAATAAATAAATAAAATCTAAAAAAAAAAAAAAACAACCCAAACAAACAAACAAAAAAATCAATAAAGTGAAATGACGACCTACAGAATAGGAAAAAATATTTGCTAACTTTGTATCTGATAATAGTTTAATACCCAAAATATAAAAAACTCCAACTCAATAGCAAACAAACAAACAAAATCAGTTAAAAAATGGGTAGAGGACTGGAACAGACATTTCTCCCAAAAGATGTATGAAAGAATAACAGATATCTGAAAAGATGTTCAACATCACTAATCATTAGGGAAATGTAAATTAAAACCACTTAATCTCAGGAAACAAACTGAAGGTTGCTGGGGTGTGAGGAGGGATAGGGTGGCTGGGTGATGGACATTGGGGAGGGTATGTGTTATGGTGAGTGTTGTGAATTGTCTAAAAGTGATGAATCACAGACCTGTACCCCTGAAGCAAATAAACATTATATGTTAATTAAAAAAAAAAACACAATGAGATATCACCTCATACCTGTTAGAATGGCCATTACCAAAAAGACAAGTGATAACTAATGCTGGCATGAATGTGGAGAGAAGGGAACTCTTGCGCACTATTGGTAGGACTGTGAATTGGTACGGCCACAATTAAAAACAGTATACAGGACTCTCAAAAATTGTAACATGTAACTACCATATGATCCAGAATTCTACTTCTGGGAATATACACCCCAAAGGAAATAAAAATAGTAATGTGAAAGCTATCTGCACCTCCATGTCCATAGCAGCATTATTTATAATAGCCAAGACATGGAAACATCCTAACTGTCCAATGACTGGAAGAATAGATAAAGAAGTTGTGATAAATATATATGTAATGTATATATTCAATTGGAATATATGATATTATGTTATACATGGAAGATATATAAAATGAAATATATAATATTCAATCATTAAAAAAAAAAAAAACAAGGAAATCTTACCATTTGCAACATATGGATGACCTTGAAGGCATTATCCTAATTGAAACAAGTCAGGGACGGCTGGGTGGCTCAGTTGGTTAAGCATCTGTTCAGTTGGTTAAGCATTTGTTATCACTTGCTCAGGTCATGATCCGGGGGTCCTAGGACTGAGTCTCACATAGGGCTCCTTACTCGGCAGGGAGCCTTCTTTTCCCTCTGCCTGTTTTGCATGTCCTGCCTGTAGCTCTCCATGCTTCTGCTCTCTCTGACAAATAAATAAAATCTTAAAAAAAAAAAAAAAAAGAAAGAAAAGAAAAAGAAATCAGAAAGAGAAAAATAAATATTATATATTTTTTTTTCACTTACAGGTGGAATCTAAAAAACAAGTCATAGAAAAAGAGATCAGACTTGTTACCAGAGACAGAGGGTGGGGGAGGGGAAACTGGGGGTAGGTGGTCAAAAGGCATAAACTTCTGTTTATGAGATAAGTAAGTACTAGCGATGTAATGTTCAACAGGATGACTACAGCTAACACTGCTATGTAAGGAAAGTTAAGAGAGCAAATGCTATGAGTTCTCATCACAAGCAGAACATTTTTTTTCCTTTTTCCTTTTCTTCTTATTATTGTATCTATATGAGAGAATGATGTTAGCTCACTGACTGTGGTAATCACTTCATAATAGGTGCAAATCAAACCATGCTGTATACCTTAAACTGACACAGTGATGTATCTCAATTTTTCCTCAATAAAACTGGACACAGTACACGACATAAAGACCACAGTGAGTATGATGGTTAGTTTTATGCTCTAACTGGCTAGGCTCATGTCAGTTAATCTAAGTGTTGCTATGAAGGTATTCTGTGGATGTGGTTTACATCTACAATCAATTGACTTTAGTAAAGAAGATTATCATTAATAATCTGGGTGGGCTCCATCCAACCAGGTGGAAGGCCTTACGACCAAAACTGAGGTTGTTCTGAGGAAGAAGAAATCCCAACTGTGGATCCCAGTGTCCATTCCTATCCAAGAGCTTCTGGCCTGTTGGCCTACCTTACAAATTTTGCACTTAACCACCACTATTAGGTAAGCCAAATCTTTTAAATTATATATTATAATAAAATAATTATAATAAATGTTTTCATAAGCAGTCATAAAAGATATGCAGTTGTAATAGATATTATAATAGATTATGATGCATACATGTGTATATGCATCTATCTATATAAACAGACATACACACACACACACACGTATCTCCTACTGATTGTAGGAGATAGAACCTGACAGAACCCTGCCTTGCCAGTATGGAAGCAGACTTGGAATTTGGTACCCCATATAATGTTTACCAGCTGTTATCTCCAATTAGGTTAGTCTCCTGTCTTTCCCTATCCATGTTCATTTTCCTATTTCTGTTCACACTGCTTTTCCCTTCTGACTTGTCTCCACTCCTTCTCCCATCTTATAAACTCTGTCCCTCTCTTTACACTCCAGCTCTATCCAAGCCTTCCATGAAACTGCCTTGTACTTTAGCTCCTTTTGCTCTTCTCTTTCTCTAAACTCCCTCAGTAGTTATTAGCTGGGCTAGTCACTGTAATTCTTAACCTTACGGATCTCACCTAACACTGTTTTGTATTTAGTATCCACCACTAGTGGGTATAAATTTGCAAGTATAAATCTGGGTGTGCAAGAAATATCACAATTCTTTATTTTGATTCAATCAAATTAAATTTCACCTCAGACATAACTGACCCAGCCTCAATTCTGTTGGAGTAGAAGGAAACCCAATCTTAGTTATTAGTGGGCTATCCTCTTTTCCTCCTTAGGCGTACACTAGAACCTGAAAGACTTATGTTAAGCCTAAAATATGGGGAAGATGGACTTTGACATACTCATTGTTCAGGGATATATGGTCCCTAGAAGCCAAGTAATAGCTCTGCTCATAAAACAAAAGTGGCAGGGGGATTCAGCCACACTAGGGTCATCGTGCAACCATCTGAGGTTTGGATATCTCTTGGGGTGTTCTAGAAAGCAAAACTGGTATTTCTATTACTGGAGCCCTGATCTTTGACATCTTTGGGAGTCTGGGGAAATTTTTTCTTTCTCTACAATTCTATCCACCCATAACCCCTCCTTCCCTCTTTCTTTCCCTTGCTTCCCAGATGCTCCACTTTAACCCTCCAACAAAATCTCCTCAAGGAGCAAGGAACCTGGAAAGCAGACTGGTAGGCACAAATTCCAGGGATAACACTGACACTTCATTCTAAGGTCTTGGGGCCCAGGAGGCTTCATTTTCAACGTGAATTGTTCCCGTCAGGAACACAACACTTTCCTGAAGGCTGTTTGGAATGGAGGGAAGGGGAAAATATAAGAACATAAACCAAATTAATAGCCCAATCAGTTATCCTATTACACACCTTTACTTATTTATTTATTTATTTATTTATTTTTGGTCCCCTGTATTTTTACTGCACTTTAAAAAATATGTGTGCACTGAGAGTTCTAGTCTTAAATTACGAACTTCTTGAAGATTCAAACAATATTTTATTTACCATTTATTTTTAAATCTTTCTGACGTCCCCTTATAATAATAATAAAAGTACTTAAATGAATTGAGGAATGAGAGAGTTCGTGGATCACTGATTAGGCTCCACCTGTTAAGACAGCACTGGTGTTGACCTTCTCATTGTAGGGTTGGCTTTAGTGTCTTCTCATTGTCACTTTTAGGATTTGTTAAATATGCTTTTTCTTTACCTCCTTTTGTTCATAGCTGCTGGTAGGCTGAATTTCCAAGATATCAAATTTCCACTTGGGACCTTTCTAGCCCCAAGTAAAAGTAAACACTTCCTTTAACATTCAGCCAGATGATATTAACTTGAACCTTTTTTAATATAAAGAGAATTGCAGGTTCACAACATAAACATGTATATGGTAACAACAGTGGAGAATTTCTAAGTGAAATCCAAGCGGTACCTGGCATTCATTTTCATAGTACCTTTCACTTGAAGAGCCAAGTACACTTTGAGAGCTTTTATCCCATTAATCCTTAGAAATAACCTGAAAGAATGGCTTATATAGGGTCACAGAGCCAGGAAATGACAGTGTTAACATCCTACTGCCTTGCCTGGTATTTGAATAGTTAGCTACTTTGCCTTAACAAACCATTGTTTTAATGATATAAAGGAATTATTTGTGCTCTAACAAGAGAATTCCAATTTTCACATCATACTTATATTAGTAAGTATGGCATGGAGAAAATTTATCCAAATTTGCCAATGTGTACTTGGTTTTGAACCCTCCAACTTGCCTCTTCTATAATCTTGCTTTCTTTCTTGTCCTCTTTCCCCTCCCACCACCTCGCTTCCTCTAATCCTAATAAGACTGAAAACTCAATAACATTACAGCACTGGAACTGAATACAACAGCTCATCTAAGACTGTGTGCATTTTGAAAGACAGCAGCCTAGCCCAAATATATGATCCATCGCTTTCTGATACAAAGTTTTCGGAGGTGGAAAGCCTTCCTTCCTTATCCCCATAAATAATAACATGTGGGTGATTACATATTCTACTTTCAACTCCTAGGAGGAAAAGTTTGCAATGGAAGAGGCAGAGGATGGAATGAAGGGAAAAGAGGATGAGTAGATACTTTTCATTTTTAAGGGAAGGAAAACAGAATAGGGTCCAAAGTTATCTTTTCCATATTTGTAAACCACCATATTTGTGGAAATGAAATGTACACCTTAGGCACTTAATGAAGATTTACTATTGACGAAACCCATTTTAGGCCTCATCTTTTGTCAGAACGATCGTAACTAATCACACAGAGTAACATCTTGTAAAATGGGCTTGTGTCCCCCTCTCCTTCCTTTCCCTCCCCTATACACTCCATCAAGGATCTGAGCACCGAGCTAACACCGGGTTATGCATTATTCACTCATCCCATGTGCTCTGTCATGGCTTCATACCAGTGCTTATGCTAAAATCCCCCTCCCTCAGTGCTCTCCTATTGAACTTCTCTTCATCCAATGAGACTCAGTTCAAATGCTAGCCAGGAGGCCTTCTCTAAACAGCTGTTTTACCCTAAACAAGACCAATACCTCCCTCCACTATGTCTCCGTAACATTAGTAGACATGATTCTATTGTAGAACTCATCACCTTGCACAATCAATATATGTCATTATGTCTCTCTGCTCCAAAGAATGTAAACTATTTCAAGTTGGGACCAGGTTCTTTTATATGTATGTATGTATGTATTTATTTATATTTTGGGGGCCAATCCCATTACATATCAGGCATGACAAATATATGATAAATGATATGCTATAGTCTGGACAGTATGAAAAGTTTACAAAAAGAGACAAGGTTTACAGATATAGAAGAACATGATGGTATAATGTATTGGGCTAAGAAAATCAAGGCTAAGTACCTCCTGCATTCAACAAATATTTACTCAATACCTAGGAATTAAGAATTGTATCCCAGGACTACCAGGATAAATAAAACACAGGCACTACCTTTGAGGTGCTTACAGTCCACCTCGTGGATTGTCTCTCTTTCTATGTGTACAGCACTTCCATGGTTTATATATCAATTCACATGTTGTTCCTCATAACAACCCTGTGAAGTAGGTCACTATTTTCATTTTTATAGAGACGGACACAGAAGGTTTGAATTCCCAGGTCTCTTGACTCAACGACCAGAGTCTTTCTACCCTACTACAACAATGTTTCTCAAAATTTTCCACTGGAGTACACTTTCACAGGGAGAATAGACTTATCCTCCTCAGGGCTGGGAAATAGAAGCTCAAAATCTAGTGTTATCTTAAAAATCCGTGCTTACTCTGATGTTTTCCATTACTTCTCACTGAGTCAAACTGAAGGTCTAAGAAAATGAGCCACATTGTTTCTGGGTGCTTCAGGGAACTTAGCACAGGCGTTCATGACCGCAGGGGAATGCACACAATTTCAGAAGCACATGGCTACACTGCTACCTTTACTCAGGGTGCCTGGATTTGGTGTGGCTCTTTCATGGAATGGATAAAAAAGCTCTCGAAAGTTGT